CTGTCTATGAAAAGCTTGTCTATGAAAAGCTGTTGAGAATCATTATAGAAGACTCTCTTAACCTTGTCTGAAATTACTTCTGTGTGTACCTTTGTGAAATGAAATCTTTAGTCACAAGATTGTTTAAAACACACATTCACAATTTATTTATTCCTCATCCTCACCAATATGAAAGTTGAAGCACAGTGTGTAAATTAAGCTTAGAAGGTTAAATAGTTTCAGGCTTCTTTATGAGCTATTATTAACTTCATTATTTATGAGTCTCTCTGTTGTAATGTTCTTCAGCTGAAGGTTATTGAACTGTAACTTCCTATCACAGCATCTTTAATTAGACTAGCTTTTCCCAATACGTTAGAAAGCACGGTGAAGAAGGAAGCAGCCTCTGATCTTTTTCTCCTGTTTTACACTGCGGTACTACAAATGATTCAGCTCAGTGGGATTCAGGCCTATAAATGCTTTTGTGAATCAGGACAAAATGCTTGATGTTAATCTCTGAGTTCACCACCTTTTTTCTGTGGTGAGGAAGACTGTCTAACAAAAGAAAGCAGCTTTCTTCTTCAGATAGAAATGGCCGTCATTTCTGTTTTCACCAAGAAAGAAATGAACAGTCTAGTGTGATGACCATCTGGCTTTCAGTTGAATCTCTCAACGTCTTTTGCTTGTTCAGTTCTTACCGTGTTGTTAAAGCTTTTGCTGTAATGTATCCCCAACTGGTTTAAGACTGCTGTGATGCATTAGCTGCTTTCCTTGAATCACTCCATACCTGCCATTTGCTTAAAGAGTTGAGAAGCCCACTTAAAGGTATCATATGCCTAAACTACCTTAAGGATATTCTATGCCTCTGGCTATTTTTATGTCTCAGTGATATTTTTTGTGGTGGTCTTGAAAGAATTCAGTGCCTGAGGGCTCCTGCTATGATTTTGTCTCAATAGTATTTTGCCTTAGAGGGGACTTTCCACCATTAAATCTAGATCTTGCATAGAAATCTCCCATTCTGAGATTTAATTTTGAAATCAAAAATTAATTATTGCTTTGTTACTTTACATGGATGAACCTGACTCTCTTCACATACATTTATACATTTGAAGTGTCCCTTTCCTGAAATTTCCAGAAGCAGCTATTATGCGCATTACTGGATTGGTGCTTTTTATTTAATTTAATCAGTAAATAAAAACTAAGTGAGAAAAAAAATTGAGAAGATAAAATATATGTCCTAGTTTGGTAAGTAAAAAGTAGCTTAGGATCTGATTCTGTTAGCTTTATTCATAATTGCGCAGCATCTGACATACATGATACTACTTCCAAAAAAGAGTAACGCTCAAGATGAGTCAGGGTAACCATTAGTAAGAACAAGACAGCTACGGTACATGGGAACACCATCCTTCCCACTCTTGCTAAACCACCAGGGATTGCCACTGTCATCTAGAACATCTGGAGCAGTTAGTAAAGTTAACAAAAATGTATGATTGATTCTTCTTCTGTATTTTAAAAGAGATAGGCAGGCACCTAAAAGAATTTCCTCACCCATTTGGTAATTACTTCTAACTTTTAAGGTCCCATGCTGACATCAGTGTGAGGTCACTTACACCTCTGCAGAATATCACTGTAACAGTGTAACAGCTGGTCCATTCGGATGACATTAAAGGACTGGCGTATGAAAAATTGCTCTCTAGCATGTTTTTTTTTCATGATTGGTTTCTTTCCCTTTCCCTGCAGCAGTAACAGGACAGATGGGTGGCACATAAAGTTTTTGTTTTCTGGAAAACGCCAGCTCAAGGAAAAGACCACTGCTTATTAGCCAGAGTACCTACGACAGCTCTGACACGGAACCCTAACAGCAGTAATGCCAGCCAGACAGCCTGGAAAATGTACACACCGAGTACGGTGCGTCCTTGAAATAATATTTATTGTTTATTTGTTCCTTCGCCAGGAGAGATGCACATACATTTTCTGCTTGTTAGGAGACTGCAAAACCAGACCAAAGAGCTATCCCTGGGCACAAATTTTAAACTAGGTACTAGGGATACAGCTCAGGATGATTAACATGAATTTGAATTCACATAAGCTCACTTTCCTCCACACCTGTTATTTGATGAGCTGCATCGGCTTGCTAAGCCACGTACAGATGACACGCAAGGAGTTTGCAACCTAGGTCTCTGATCCTATCAGCAATCCCACGTGGGCAGATGCCTGACTCCTTGCCCAGCCTTACTGAGGCTGAAAAGATCTGCATGGGTATTTACATTCATTTGTGCAGGACCAAAATCAGTCACTGAGTATGACTCCTGGCATGACGAATTACAACTCAAACAGAGCGTTGACCTGCACTGATTCAGTAGCAGGCGAGGAACGTTGGGGATGAACTAAGCTATGTACGAAGTGATCCTCCACCTGTTCCCTGTGCTAGAGAACCACCTTTGTCTCAAACAAAATAACCATTTCCACTCTGTCCACAGACCTTCCCTGTGCAAAGGGCAGAACAAAGCCTATTTGCAGGAGCTCTGTGCTTTTAGAATTTAAGGGCACAGAAAAACGTCAGATCATTTATTCTGATCTCCTCTGTACTGCAAGCATTTCACCTTTGTGACCTGAACTGAAATCAGTAATTTACTTTTGACTGAAGCAGAGTGTGTTTAGCTGAAGGCTACCTTCCAGAAGGGCATTGAGCTTTGAACCGAAAACCATCAAAAAATACAAAATCCGCTAGTTCTCTTCCTAGTCTGCCCCGGTAATTAATCACCTTGGTATTAAATATTGGCACCTAGTTTCCCGTATGAATTTATCAGGATTCAGCCTTTAACCATGCATCCTCTCCCTGCTTAATTTAAAGGTCTTTTAGATGATACAGTTCTCCTCCCCCCATAAAAAACACTTATTTGCTTAATGCACTCACCTTCCTTTCGATAATCTAAATAAACTGGAATGTTCAAGTTTCTTATTGTATGGCATTTTCTCCAGGTGTCTATAATTTATAGGTTTTTTCACCCTCTCCAATTTTTCAAAACACCATTTAAAAATATGAACGTGAGAATTGACTGCAGTATTCTAGTGTCAGTCTCACCAATGCCGCACACAGGCACAAAATCATCTTCCAGCTTCTAATCACTACCCCCCAGCTTAGATATTCAAGGATCACGTTAACCCTTCTGAGTTTATGCTGCAATAGGAACTTACATTCAGTTGCTTGTACCCTAAATCCTACTTATAGTCTCGTTTTGGGAATCAGACTCTTTGCTTTTGCAAGAGCAAGTCTGCATTCATCTTTATTGTACAATTTTGCATTTGACTATGAAAATATGCTCCTTTTAAAACACTCAGCTTACCAAGAAATCCAGGCTTCTCTCATATGCTTGCTCTATCCTATTACCCTGCTCCACCCAACAAATATTACTAGCCTATTATTATGAGTCCCTATTTATGTTCAGATCACTAGTAAAAATACAATGTGCCTAAACTCTGGTAATTCTGAAAGCAATTGTTCAGCTCTCACTTAAACCCAGGAACATCTAAACACTAAATACATCTCAGTTTTCAACAGTAAAATATCCCTTGTGCTTAAAATTCCAGCATACTGGAGCACTGTTGGTTAATTACAGCAAAAGGCATGTATTTTGGAAATGATCTTTTTTTTAAATTATTAGGACAATATAGTTTTAACTAGTACCCAGTACTACTATCCTCAAATTTTAGATAATAAAAAGCCTTTAAAACAAAAATCTTATAATAAATCAAATATCAAAAACCATACCAAACTTTTTGACTTTTTTCCTGGCTGCTACTCAATGAGTCTGATTCCAGACCAAACAACTCAGCTGGTATCTAACCTGAGCATACCTCGCAAGCAAAGGGTGGGTTTAACTGCACATGAGGTACTCAGTCAAACGCAGGGGTCTCTCTGGAGTTGCTGGACCCATTTTCCATCAGCACGCTTTTTACTTTCAACGCCACAAAACAGTAAATGCCTCCTGTCGGGTAATGACCACGCTCTTCTCTGCTAGTGGCAGTGAGCGATGGGCCATTCAGCACCCGGGTGACGGCACACAGGAAGGGTTCTGCTTGCAGGAGAGCTCAGCCTTCAGCTGAGAGGCAGAACTTGACGGGGTGAAGTTCTCTCCTAGCAGCTGAAGTTCACAATCACGTTTAATGACCACGGGGCTGGAAAATAAGCCCAAGCGTTTAGTGTCAAGCTTGGATTTGAGTAAAACTAAAGAGGCCGTGAACTCTTCGAAAAGTCCCCACCCCCCAAGCCCTTTAGGTTGCTTTTCAGCACATATTTAATGAAAACGTGAAATGTCCTCCTCTACTGATCTTCAGATGAGCTCTCATTGGCCTACACACAGCTAATCCTAGGAAACTGAACTGCTTGCACGAATAGGGGACTAAACCCTTAGGAAATTTGTTGAACTAAAGAATTAACAAAATACCTGTAAGACTTTTTCAAGGGCATGAAGCATCCAGAGCTTACACTTGAGAATACTAAGCACGTCTGAAAATTGGGACATTTGCTTTGTTTCTGCTGTTAAATTGCTGCCTCAGCTTTCCTGGCCTTTAGCTCACCTATAGCATCAAAGTATTTTAGACGTGTTTTTTACAGTGGGGTACTGAGAGTTCATTCAAAGTGGTATGTTAAAGTACCTTTAAGGAAGACTGATCTGTTAGCTCTTAACCTAGCTTCAAAACACTAAACCTCAAGCAAGGCTGATTTTTATACCCACAATAGCTAGTTTCTCATCTGGTTAAAGATGTCAGAAAACAAACCTGTTGGGTAAAGCTGCCTGCTGGTGTGAACTGGCAAAGCTGTGCTGACAAGGTAGAGTTCAGCCCAATCTTCCCTCAGTATTAAGTGACATAATGCTTTCTGTGCTCTACCCCAGCCAGCCATCCACGTCATAAATACTGAATGCAGTACCTGCATGATTACTGGAGTGACTTTGCCCGTCACCTTCCCTGAGGAGACAACAATGCAAAACACGCTTTACTCTGAGAAAAGCTGCACTCACCCGATCTTCTTCTTCTCTGACATCTGGCATGGTGCTGATGCAGAGGCTGACTGCGGTGATGGCAACAAAAGAGATTGAAATACAAGCAAAGATCTTTCCTGGGATCCCTGAGTGGGGGTTCTCCACCATATCCCTGAGCTTTCGCATGCACAAACTCAATCGGCTATTGTCCTGGAAGGCACATTGTGTAGTTTCACTAAATACCATCTCCCCTTCATACAGCCTGGCCTCAGCTGCCTCCTCCTCTTTCTGTTGCAATCTCTTTTTACAGCACCACTCCAGGTGGTCCTCTTCTATCCCCCAGTACACAAGCTCCTCCTGAAAAGAAAGAGCGCACATCTCTCTGAGAAGCCTCAGCTTCCCAGCTGTCAGGAAAGTCATGATCGTCCTGAAGGCACTAGGATTACGGTCAAAAAAAAATTCATTGCAGCTAACATCATAATCATCGCAGATGTTCATGATCTCATCATAATTGTTGCAAGATTTTAGCTTCCCAAGCCTGGTCAAGGGGCAGTTCTCCAAGGTGGTCCATGGAACTTTGTATTTAATACCACCTACGTTGATGATCACAAACCTGGTCCGGTCATCCAGGTGGGCTAAGCAGCACAAGTCTTCCCCAGGGTGCAGAAGTTTGGCCTTTTTGTAGAAGAATCCTTTCTTGGTTTGCACTTCACACAGGTTTTCCAAGTTATTGAAGGAGTAGGAGCTGAATTCAGGATCTGCATTCCCAGTGAGCAATGCCATTTTGTGATACATTTGTTGAGCCCATAGGGAGGTCGAGACTACTCAAACAAAAGCATCTGGAGTTTGGCTGGAGAGTCAATCTGTAAAACAGAATTTTAAAACTACAATAAAATCAGGATGTTGCTACATGAAAAACAATCCTATTGTCTCAATCCCAAGAAACTTTTCTCCATGGCATTATTTTTCCCCTATTATTTTAGGACTATCTTTGCTTGATAGTTGCTTGGGCAAAGAACTTAAACTGCAATAAGGTCAGAAGCCATGTTGATACTTCTACAGGGTTTAGTCAGTGAATGAATGGAAACAAAACCAGTGTATTATCATTTTCAGAAATTTCTTTTCTAGAGGTTCGAGCTATATCCTGGACATCAATGGATACTGGAAGGGAAAATGGGTCTTCTGGATAAATGGCAATTTACATTTTAGCATCTTAATAAAGAAACTTAGTTGCAAATGGTTTTTTGATTATTTTGGCCCACATACATAATGTTTCGATTACAAAATCCCTATAGTGTGAGGATAAAATGGATACCTACAGTACAGTCAGAAATGTGATTGCAGCAATGCTGGTAATTCCCAATTTAAAATCACCACGCTTAGGTACCAATAGCAATGAATATGTGGGAGCTGAGAATCCAGCCTGCAGCCAGGACCCAAGCAGGTTTGGCTGCTTGAGCACAAAGCGTGTGCTACCGAGATTCACTTGCCACTGGTACCCCAACTAACTGGATTAAAGCTATATTGGGCATATCTACCTGAACAGCCCCACTTCTAAAAGGTAGAAAAGCTTTTGTTCTCATGCTGGGGTGCCTGCTGTCCAGGCTAGTGACATCTCCTGCAGGGAGGTGCACATCCCGGGTCTGAGTGGAGACCAGAGCTCGCCCGGGACCCCGGAGCTGCTGGAGGCTCTGCTGCAGTTTTGACTGTGGGAGGTGGTCAGGCAGCAGCTCTGAAATGGGAGACTGAACCCAAGAACGATGCAGAGCGGGAAGCAACCCACTTGCTGCTATTACTTCTGGATAATGCAGAACCCAGCCGGTCACATTTAGCAGGAATTACGCACATTACATGTAATTCCAGGATTTAATTTGTGCCTTCTGCTTACCCCTCCTTTACCACACCACAATCCACAGATCTCCTGAACATGTTTTTTTACCTGCCACATTGCTTCCTCACTTTCTCTAGACCTCTCCACCCAGGTTCTCCAAAGCTGTCTCTCCAAAACAGTACTAGGATGTCTTGAAATGCTACTATGTAATCGCATTAGTGAATCACCCAAAACTTCCTGGATTGCTCAAATATGAAGTAGGAAACAAGAAAGCGGCATAGGACCATTCGGATTCCACACAAAAGACCTGGACTGAGAATGGATGCAGTGATGGGGAACACTCTTAAGCAGGGGATGTAGAAACCTTACACGTTGACAAAAGACAGAAGAAAAAGCCGAGTTGTGAAGATAATCTGATGTTATTGATGACAGGACGGTAACCATGGGGCAGTAACGCCGTAATTTATAAGCAACATTCTCCAATTCCCTTTGAATCTCATGCCTCAGCCTGGAGAGAACACCGAACAAATGGGTGCTAGGAAAAACTGGAGAGCACACACATTCAAACACATTCCCAGAGCGGCATCTTCCTTTATCCATCATCAACTCACTAAATCTTCACTCATTAGACTTAGTCAAAAAAATCTCCAACAGGAAGTGGCAACTACTTGCTACTCACAGCCCTGAGTCACCCTCTAAATATTCTTGCCAAGTACACTCAAACAACTGAATCACAGCAATGGCAGTGGTACTCCTGCTTCTACATTTCTGTGAGGATCGCGCCACTGCACGTTAGAAAGGCATTTACGTTGGATATTTGTAAAAAGTCAGAGAAAGGCTGGCTTACATACAAAAAACCTAAAGTCACCTAAGATACTTTTCGGCACTGAAAATTTCAGAAGAACTAACGATGCCCAAATCTCTCCAATTTCACTTTGGGAAAAAAATTGTTTAAACATCTGTTTATACGGGGCAACATGAACAACAGAGAAAAGCTCCTTCATCTGGCTAAGGGCCAGTAAAGGATAACAGGCAGCAACGTGCGTTCTGAGAAATGGGTGCTTTTACAGCACAGGCTTGAGTGCAGCTGGGATTGCAAATACCATTACTGTCACAACGAGAGCGCGCTGTCAGCACGGCATATTTCAGGATTTAGTTTCTTGTTGGTTTTTGTTGGCAAGATAAAATATTCACTGCCACTACTCAGGGCACTGCGCTTTTGTTTGCATGCCTCACTTGTTACTCAAGTCAACATAAAAAAAGTAGTTTACATCGTTTTGACATCAAGGCCAGGATTTGCTTTTCTCGTCTCCCCCGTGTAGCAGGTTGTTATATAAAGGGGCCAGATACATTTCACAGAATTATTCTGAGTCTAATCTTACATGTGCTTCTTCCTTCTTCCAAGAAGCAGTTAACTCAATGTGAAAATCGGTAATCATGTTGTTTATTACAAAATCTCTGAATTACAGAGGGTTAGTCTTTTATTTTGTGGACATAAAATGATGTTGACTGAACGTAAAGTTTAAGGAAGCAGCTATTCAATTTTTTGTGTATCATCAGTGGATAAATAGAAAGTGATAACAGAAGTAGTTACAGATAGTATTGCCTGTGGTTTAACAGATTGATTCTGGCCAGTACTGGTAGCATCAGATGCTGGAGTTTAGTTACTAAAGTGAATTTTCTGACCTCACACTTCAAGATCCCAGAATCCATAATAGTATACATTATTAGTTGGCAGCATTTGTTTTGGAAATCTCAGCTAAAAAGATAAGCATGTGAAGAGAGTTGTACGTATTATTCTCCTTGGCACTTCTGTGAGGTGGTTGCCCTAGACCAGGGCTCAGATGTCAGTGGAACAGCATTGAAAATCTTGTTGTGGCACTTTAACTGTCCTACAGAAAAACAGAATACATCACTGTGGGCTCCCAATTTGGCATCTATCCTGAGAAGTAAAATAAGCCTGGAAAGTCTGTTTCTGATCTTATGTGCATGGAATGTATCATGACCTTCACTGAATATTAAAGGGTGTTTCAAAATTATGTGGGTCTTAAAATACTCTCTGCATGCCAAGGTTATCTAATGTATGCACATGCCTACAGTAAAGCATCCCATTGAAGATTAACTTTAAAAGCCAATACTTCCAGAAATGATACTACATTATCATCCAGTTGGCATTTCTACCATTTAATCTGACACATGGGTGCAAGAAAGACTACTAAAACACTGTCTGTAATAAGCTGCCCATTGCAGGGACACAGGACAGAATTTGATTCTATATTTGTTGTTCATCATTTTAAAACACTGTGGGAGAAACACTATCAATGTTTCAGTTTGATGATCACACACAGGGTGGGTCATACACACTGTGCATTCCTTTCTTTTTTAAGTAGAGTCAAGCAATTTTTATTCACTAAGAAGTACTTTCTTTGGCCATCTATGTATGCATATGTGTGTATCTACACACACACAAACAAGTTCAGCCAAATTCTGTCAAGAACAGACAGTTGAGATCTTTAAAATACAAGTATTTCTCATCAAAGATTTTAAAGATTAAATAAATGTGAGAAGCATACAACTGCTTCATATTCTCCTTTTTGTTGAATTATTTTCTCAGTGGAGAGGGAGCTATTTCCCTACTTACTGCCTTTTCACCTTGCCTGCTCCCATCACCGTTCTTCACACAAACATTCTTCATCACCCCTTTTTATCAATATTGTTGCATCTAAGTCATACATGGTTTTGCATGTGGCTCCACTGGTCTCAAGTTGCTTTGAATAAGAATGAAAAATGGGGCAGAAGCAACCCTGCCAACAGGCTGGCCAGCCCCGCGAGGAGAGCTTTAAGCTAGTGACGATGGGGAGGAAGCGGTGGAGCAAAGGGTGCAGGGTGACACGGCCAGGAGAGACCTCGTGATCCGTTCACGACTGAAGGGTGACCACATCCAGCGTATGCACATAAATGAGGGTACGCCTACAGGAAGGTGTCATGGGCAGAGAGCTCATACCTTTTCTGGGAAATCACGACTAGGTGCCTCTGAAGTGCCTGCACAGTAACGCATGCAGCCAGGGGAGCAAACAGGAAGAATTCAGAGGTCTGTGTGCAGCTGCACAGAAGAAACTGGTACCGTGAGGGTGGTCAAACACTGGCACAGGATGCCAAGAGAGGTCGTGGAGTCTCCATCCTTGGGAATATTCAAAACCCATCTAGACACAGTCCTGAGTGACTTGCTCTAGCTGATGCTGCTTTGAGCAGTGGGGATTAAACTAGATGAACTTCGGAGGCCCCTTCCTGCCTCAACTACTATGTGATTTTGTGAAGTCTCTTTAACTGCTGCTGTAAGTTACGAAGTACTGAAGGTTTACACTTGTACTACGGTAGGAAGAGGAAGCCATGAGGCTTTTTAGTAATTAATGTTTTAAGAATTTCCTTGTGAAATGAAACACACTTTGACAGAGAACAGGTTACTGTGTCATAATTTAAAGCCACAGACATGAAACATAAACTAGAGTGACCACAAGATGTTTTCTCTCAAGTCCAATGAGAGTTGAGTCAGTGAATCCATTCTGCAGTGCTCAGCCGTTTCCAGTCAGAGACGTGCTGGAACCTGACATTGCTGCCTAGGACCAAAGCAATTCCCACTTCTTACTGTGACATGATTTATAATTTACAACACACACAATTATTTTAATAGTAAAGCTTACACATGCAATTGACCATACATTTGGTGGTATTACAGCTAACGCTTTGGACAAAGAGGCTTAGGAGATCCAGGTTACTCTTGTACTTACTACATTTCAGTAGAACCTGGACTCCCAGTTATGACTCCCTGCCATAGACATATGACTCCCTTCCATAGAAACATGAAGAGAGGAGAGCACCTGTCCATGAGGCTTACAGAATACAAAACATGAATATGGCTCCCTACATACTCATTATCATAGACTCATAGAATTGTTTAGGTTGGAAAAGACCTCTAAGATCATCGAGTCCAACTGTTAACCTAACACTGCCCAAGTCCACTA